GTTCGTTGTCAACATATTCTTTTTTAAATTTATTTGCTGTTTGTTGTATTTTTCTGATTCTTTTGCTGTATTTGTGGGTGGTGTAATAGGTAGCAGCTCAGAATGAGAACTCAAAGTAATGAGTTTGAATTCCAGTCAACTTCATTACATTCAGTTGTGACAAAAACCCTTTGGAAAAGGTATGAATCTACCTCCTGGGTTAAGTAGTTGGACATGTATCTGGAAAAAATCATTATTATAAATAAAGAAAATAGTTAATGCAATATTCACCTGCAAAAAAAAAAAAATTCTAACAATCCAAAATAACACACAAAGGGTTGATAAACCATAAAAACAAAATAAATCAATGTTTTTCTTTGGGGTTTCATGGTTTTACTTTTCTAACTCTTCTGTTTTTCTTTTAATGCTTTGTCAGTTCTGTATTAGAAATATACTTGTAAAAGACTTGATTATAGCAGTAGGCTACCCATATCGTAAAAAGATGCAACAAGTCGTACAAGGGAATCCTGAAAAAGTTTTGGGCTGACTGAGAAGTACTTGAAAAACATTTATTTAATCTTTTGACTACATTTCGGGAAGTGAGCTGGGCCGAGAATTTTTCAGCACCCCTTGTAATTTTTGCAGTTGACTTGGACTTATCTTTGTCATTTTTCTTGTCTGCTCTGCTTTGTGAATATTTAGTGAAATAACATTCACCATCGCATTTTCTTTATCACATTTAATATGAAATAAAATTATTTTCAGAAGAGTCCACAACAGAGATATGGACAATTTACCTCTTTAAGTAGTGACCTCTTTAGGGTGTGTAGAACAGTATCTCACACACGTACACATATACCCTCTTTCTGTTGTTTAACGGCATATCAACTCCTTATGAGTCATTTAATGCCAAAGTTTAATTTTCTTGGGAGCTTTGAAGTAATATAAATATATATTATTCTGCTTTCACTACTGAATACATGGTAAATGATACTCAGCTTCTATGCATATATATGTTTGTGAGGACATTACTAGAGGTGGTGATGTAGCTTTATTGAAGTTATATTTTTAAATGCAGTTTGATTTAAGAAATTCTAAGGTATTATATGGATTAATGTCATGAAAGAGTTTTTTCATGTTTGTTTAGTATCATATCAACCTCTATAGGTTATTTAATGCTGAAATCTGAATATTTTGAGCGCATTTGTATCTCTTCAACTATTAATAAAATGTATTGTTGGTCATTTTACTATCAACAGATGTTGTTGGTAATTTTTTTTATATAAAAATGTATTGTTGGTATTTTTACTATAAAAATGTAATTTTATACTTTCATAGTGTTTTCTTCGCGGGTTCAGTATTTGCGTATAGCTGGGGCCCTAACGTGTCAATCTTACTCTGACTTTGAAGTTTCCTGGCAAGAACCCCTTGAAGAACAAATCTTACCAGGGAACTTCAAAGTTGGAGTAAAACTGATATTTAAAAGTAATCTTTTTTTTTTATATAGTATTAATGTCCCATTTTATATAATGTTAATTTATTAATATTAACGTTCTATTTTATGTAATATTAATGCTCTATTTTTAATATTATTTTAATATTTTTAATATCGTGCATTATCTATAAAAATATCTGCTGTTTTATAAATCTTATATATATATATATATATATATATATATATATATATATATATATATATTATATTTTAAAACTGAACCCCCTAAAAACGGAAATCTTACCAGGAAACATCAAGTCAGGGTAAAATTGATATTTAAAAGTTAAGTTATATATATATAGTTATCCACAAACAAACTTTTTCATTGTATCACAGCTCATCAGTGTGAATGAATAAATTTGAATGTGGCAGACAAGGAAAACTCTACTGTCTTCATCAAAAGAGTCTGCCAATTCAGCTCTGAGGACTGAATGCTGTCAAACAAAAAATCTAACCAAACCAAACCCAGACGTGAACAGTCACATGATCCGCACATATGATTTGATTATAGTGGTGAAGGCTTGTGCGGAAACATCAAGCTCTTTATCCTCCTCATCTCATAACCTTCTTTGATCATCTTGGGCTGCTATGCTGTTCTTTTTATTTATATATATATATATATATATATATATATATATATATGAAGTATGAGTTTGTAAGCAGTGACTATTACAGCTATTAAGGCAAGACTCTTTGGTAAAACGAATAGAGTTCTCTCAGCCACTGTGTGTTTATCCAAAAATAAATACGCTTGAATTAACCTTCATTCCTGCCGTTTGCCAACAGCTTAGGGGTAGAATCTCTTACTGACGCCAATTCTGCCGGGCTTCAAATCCTAGCTAGAGGCAACCGGACGTCTAGCCACACTTATGAGCTGTGATACAGCAAAACAGTCTGACTGTGGATGACATATATATATATATATATATATATATATATATATGGATGGTGCTACAATGGGTGTGTTGTTGCCTTTTTGCAGTTCAAAGTTATCCCTTTCTGGACCTGACTTTTAATGGTCAACACAGAAATGCATAAATAGAAGCTAGCAATGCTGAAAATAACCCTCACAAATAAGATTCTTGTTCGAGCAATTAAAGTCCTGCTTTCTTGTTTTGAACCTCTGACGAAAATGCTTGGCAGACACATTCTTCTCCTTCCCTGCATTTCCGCCTTCAGATTAAAATAAAAAAATAATAAAAGAAAAAATACAATATCTTTATGAAAAGGGAACATAAAATATCATTACTAATATTGAATTTTTATTTTGTTTTCTTTCTCTTTCTATCATTTTCTCTTTCACTTTATTTCTCTTTCTTCCTCTTTGCTTTTTTATCTTTTCTTTCTCTTCCCTCTTCTCCCTCTTGCTCTCATTTTTTTCTCTCCCTCTTGCTCTCATTTTTTTCTCTCCCTCTTGCTCTCATTTTTTTCTCTCCCTCTTGCTCTCATTTTTTTCTCTCCCTCTTGCTCTCGCTTTTTTCTTTCTCTCTCTTAATTTTTGTGCACTTGAATGAGCTGAAGTACAAGCTTGCTGAAGCTTTATAGTAGTAACCTCAAGAACACAAAGGATTTCCTTTTCTGAAATAAAATTTAACAAGTTAATGACTCTCCAAAATTATAGATACTTCCCCATTCCCCCCAAATAAACCAACAAGTGTGTATGTAATATATATATATATATATATATATATATATATTGTATAGCAAACACATGATATTTAATTTTTAATACTATTTCAGTAGTCATAGAATCATATTTTTTTGAACTGCACTTAAAATGTTTACAGATTTATTTTGCTAAAAAAAGATCAATAGAAATCATTTTTAGAAAAATGTTGCAAAATCACAACAATTATACAATCTTTTATTAATTTTGTTAACAAAAGAAAATGAAATAATTGAAATCTATAATCTCTTGGAATGATTAATTCATCTAAAAATTACAACAGGTATATTGATAGAAATATTTTATTATTAGTAATAATAATAGCTTAATGCCCATTGAAAGTGACTGTTAAACTCAATGTCAAATCTGTTTGTCAAAGTTCATATTTATTTTAAAAAATAAAATTCACATAAAAATTCCACTTTGTCTGTTTAAACGATGTCCCCTTGAGTGACTTGACATTGGTTCCATCAAATGTGAGAATGCCAGAATTAAACAGAAACGGTTGCATAAATATACATAGAACAATCTTTGAAAATGAATGTAGCAACATTTGAAAGTACTTACAGTGGTGTGGGATAATATAAAACAAACATAAACTTTGGCAAATTTACTGATGACATAACTAATTTGGAAATTTGAAATATTTAATAAAAAATTTGAAAAAAAAAAAGGATTTCATTGATAAACCCATTTAGTCTGAAAAAATCTTTTCAAAGACTATATTGAATCCTTTGCTAGGCCAACTGCTAAGAAAGTCTGATCACTATATCAGGCGAGACATTTTTTTCTCTTCAGAATCTGTCTTTTATATCTATAAGCATACCATTCATCCACATTTAGAATACTGATGCTATATATGGTCCAGTGCCCTGCTATTTACCTTGAGCTCTTGATAAAATCCAAAGATTCAGCAATATTATTGGTCCTGATCTGGCAGCTCAGCTTCTGTCACTTTTCCACTGCCGTAAGGGTACCTCTCTGTGTCTTTTCTATAAATACTTTCATGGTAATTGTTTGGATGAGCTCTTTGCTATGATACCTAGACTTTATAAATTTAAGTGAAGTATTAAACTAGCATTAAGGTCCCATCAATTTACAGTTGAGTTGGCTAGATGTAGCTGTAAATTTTATGCTAACAGTTTTTCTCTTACACTTCTCACTTGTGGGACTCCCTTCTGGCTTTATGCTTTCCAGCTAACTTTAATCTGCAAAAATTTAAATGCAATGTCATTCGCAATCTACTATCCTCCTGATTACTCTTTTCTCTTCCCACTCATTAATGTTTGTTTCTAATTCTTCCACACCCTGTAAACCCTTGTGTCTCCGTGGCTTTAGTACTCTGCTTGGGGTAATACCAATATTTTTTTTTTTTTTTTTTAAAGGAAAAAAAAAGACATGTAATATTGGACTTGTTTCCTATTTTCTCATTCTATTAGTCATATATATATATATATATATATATATATATATATATATATATATATATATATATATATATATATATATATATAATATGTCTTCCGTACATGTATTTGTGGACGCTCGAATAGTGCCATAATCTAGTTCATATTGTTCTGTTTCTCATCTTAGCTGTGTGTGTTTTTTTTCTTAGGCAGTAGCGGAATTAATGTTGCATGTAGCAAGGTGGGTCCTGTCTGACAAAGGACCTCCATTTTCTAAATATGCCTGTCACTAACCACCAATAGTTGTAGGACCAATTTTTCCCTATCCTACTGGGGGGTGGGGGGAATCCTCCCTAGTTATTTTGGGACATCCTCTTCCTCTGCTGTCCTCAACCGCCACATCATGGACCGGTTTGATTTTGCATGACCAACCCAGCATTTCCGTGGCCCAATA